GCGTCTTTTTCTTTGTCCACCGGTTTCTAATAATGGTCCGTTTATTGTGTCATTCCACTCGATCCTGCAGGTCGTTTCCCCTTTAACAAAATCGACTCGTGACAAAATTGTGTAACGGCTCAGTACAGGATCTCGTATTAAATGACGATACCTTGGGTCCGACGACGACTTGTTGGTGAAACGGCCAAAAAGTACAAATTAAGAACTGGATGTGGATTTATAGCAGCGGGAAAAAACGCAGCCCCCTTAGAGCATACAAGGCCAATTGAGAGCATGTTTTTAAGGGGCTTAATTTAGCATGACGACTCAAAAGAGCGCTTAATGAAAAATTTGAAAGGGCGAGGAAAGTGGCTTAAGCCGATCCAGCCTCTTTTAATAAAAAAAAGTTTAATAAAAAAAGTATTAAGAACAAAACGGCTTTATGGAAACTTTCCGAATCACAGTTGTAATTTCTCTTTAGATTGAAAGAATTAATTTTATTGGTTAAAAAATAAATTGAACTCGACCAGAGAAGCTTTGAACCGTTCAAAAGGAAAAAAAAGCGAAAGAGAAAATCTCAAATAAATTCATCAACAAAAAGCACAAACTGGTAAAAATATAAAGGCCTTGAACCAATTTCTTTTTTTTTCCAGATGGTCTTTCCTCCGCACTTACAATTCATTAAACCTCAAAAACGGGTTCAACATTATGCGATTTTTTAATAGTTTTTAATGCACCCAATTAAAAAGTACTTTTCTTTTCATCGACAAAAAAGAAATTAAATAGAATATAATGGAAAACGGTTCTTAATGCCCGGGAGCCGGGATGAAACTGGTGTCTAAATTTCCTGTCATACTGTATTTTTTTTCACTAGGGCTTTAAGAGGATCAAAAGCTTCTATGCTATATTGATCCGGACCACAATTTTCCTAGATATTGTGTCTAACGAAATCTCGCGATGGTTCCCGTTAAAATAAATTCGATTGTACAGAAAACTGTTTATTGTGTAAATTCATAAGCCTTATCTAAATAGATAACATGAGCAATATTAGTTTCCTTTTTCCAAATTTAAAAACGCTTCGGACAATTTGACAAGCCACACAAATCAGATCATATTTTGTAAACAGGAGTCTTTTACAGGGTTTTCAATCCTTAGATCCCACAAAAGCACTCTGTGTTAAAATTTACTACAATTACACTTCATATAAAATTATACTGTTATATAAATCATATGTTAGGCAAAATTCACGGTTCCTTTGAAATTCGCACAGATTAGAAATGTTACTGTCATCATTGAAAATATCATAATTAATAAATATAGTTCGTCAGATTTTATTTATTTCTTAATTACTCTTACTGTGATAATCATCATACATTCTGTGAGTATGTGTTTAATTATTAGTAGATTAACCACTCATAAGGTATGAGGAGTGTGTCTTATTCTCAACCGCGTAAGGACATTTTCCTCTTTTTATAATTCTTGGGAGGAAGAACTACTACATCGAAAACTACCCTTCTGAGGCCAGTCTCCATTTTTTCATTGGAAACTCATTTTAACAGAGAAAAGTCGTTCTCCAATTATTTCGTATAGCCTGAAACCATCGTTCAGGACGAAAAATCTTACATTTCAGGTAAGATCATGACCCTGGATGGCTATAAGAATATTTAAAAATTTATTATAATTTTACTAAAGCTTCTATTTAATTAAAACAGTGATTTTTCGTTTTATTGTTGTTTTTATTGCATTTCTAAAGCGTTTTTCCGTATAATTTTTAATTACAATTTATCCCGTTTTAATTTGAAATTAATCCTTTTTAATTTCAATCTAACGTTTTATAACTCAAAATTAACCTTTTTAATTTAAACTTAACTATTATTAACTTCAAATTGACTTTTTAAAAATTCAAATTAACCCTTTTTAATTTCCAATCAAAGCCTTTCTTAAGACATTAAAGAACTTAGGAAATGGTATGAAATACAGTATCAGCATGTACTGTTAAATTTGTATATATGAGAGAATTAAAAAAATAAATAAATAAATAGGCACTTAGGAGACCATATGAAAATTAATTACAAATAAAATTGCAAGATATATAAAATTAAATATAAAAACAAATAAACGGTTCTATTAATCAAGATGTTCTTAAAATATTAAATAACTGTTTTATAGTCCAATTATTATTTTAAAAATTTAGATATTTAAAAAATCTAGAATTACTGGACGAATCATTTGTTTTTATATTTAATTTTAATTGTATTTAATTTTCATGTGGTATTTTATACTTTTAAATAATTCAAAATACTCATTTCTATACTTAATTTTATATAGCTTTTAATTTTAATTGTAATAACATTTCATGTGGTATTTTAGATAAGAACCTATATTATACATATTTAAAAACAATCAATATTCTCAAAGTAAAATAATTCTTTAGTTTTATATTTAATGTTGAATAATTTTTCCTTTAAATTCTAATTAATTTCATATGGTTTGCTAAGAGCCCAATTATTTTATATTATAAAAAATTCCAAATTTACAGTAATTTTACTTTACATGCTTATATTTTTTTACTATCTCTTAAGTGTTTTAATAGTTTAAAGAAAGACCTAATTTCATTATTTTTTGTTATAAGGCCTTCAACCACTATTAATCATTTACAGTGTCAGAAGAATCGACCACTTTTTCACTTTCGAACCTTGGGTCAAGGCAAGAAGCAAATTCAGTTGTTACTGCCAAGCTTTCGACCTATTTTAAGGTCTTAATCAAGGCAGAACAATCGTAAATATGTTTACAGATTGACATATTTAAGTTTTTTTTACAGGCGATCTCAAATTTCCTTGAAGACCACTCAGTCCTGCGAAAAGGATGCAAGATTGAAGACAGTAATTGATCTCATAATTTTGTTTAAACATTCGTTAATGTAATCATTTGTTTTATTTTTAAATAGAAACTGCCGATTATTCGTTTCGGATAAATATTTCAAATAATGTGTGGTGATTAGTGACCGTTAATCGATATTTATTTAGAAATCGTGAGATGCGGTCTGGTGTGATGTAGGTTTCAGAAAAACATTTTCTTTATCGTGCCAACGTTTCGATCTTTATTGAGATCATCTTCAGGGCTCAAAGTGTTTGTCTTCTGTGTAATTGTGCCATTCTCGTGGCATTCTCGACACGACACGCAAGAAAGACACAATTACACAGAAGACAAACACTTTGAGCCCTGAAGATGATCTCAATAAAGATCGAAACGTTGGCACGATAAAGAAAATGTTTTTCTGAAACCTACATCACACCAGACCGCATCTCACGATTTCTAAATAAATTTCCAATAATAAATACTTACTATAGCGATCCGACCCACTGACGCCAAACGAACAATAAATAATATAGTAAAGAAAGGGTGGTAGCGTCAGTGGTCTCTGGGTCGTCCGAGATGCTCTTACGATCTTTGGATCCTCCGTTCCGATTTTTGGAGAAAACGGGATTGTTTTATTATATATAACAGTGATAGTTGTGTGTACCTAACGTTTATTGAGAGTGGATGTATTTATTGGCGTGAATGAGTAGGTGATAAAGGGCTGATGGTGGAATATAGATTTTCGCCGTTCATCGACCTTCAATAGGTTAGATAATAGGTGTAAAGTGGTAATACAATGGTGTAGGTGTAAAGGAGTAAAGATGGAGATATCGAGTACTCCACCAATCTAACTGAGTGAAAGGTATGTAAATAGGAATGTATTTAAGAATTAGTGAGAGTGCGAATGGGTTTGGATCTAGGAACTGCATGTGTTGGGTGCTGAATTGACGTAGCTGTTGAGCACCCGGAGTGGCCCCCACCAAGAAAAGTGTCTGTTTGAACCTTGATAAAAGTGCTAAAATACAATATAGTGTTATGGTTTGATGTCTAACTGGAAAAGCACAGAGAGGCCATAAAACGAATTGTTTCAAATTTAAAAACCATCGAGAAGAAGTAGACGAATAGTATGAAATGAAGGGAAAAATAAGCGTTTCTTCCCTTTTTAAGTCGGACATAAATTATATTTAACCATCAAAAAATCATATTAGGATAATTAGGTCGAATAAACATAAACATAATAATTAAATAGAAAATAATATTTTTCCGTCCTTTTTCCGTCAAATATACTCTTTTTAACGCCAAATTTACCTTTTAATTTCGAATTAACCATTGTTAACTTCAAATTTACTTTTAAATTTCAAATTAACCTTGTTTTAATTCCAAATTAGACTTTTAAACTCCAAATTAACCTTTTTAATTTCAAATGAACATTTTTAACTTCTAATTAACTCTTTTTAATTTTAAATTAACACTTTTTAACTTCAAATTCGGTTTTTCTATTTTCAAATTAACTCTTCTTGTTTGAAACGGTGTTGTTCTATTGCATAAAGTAATAATAGTTGTTTATACCTAGTTTGTGTTGAGAGTGAATGTATTTGTTAGCTTCATTCACTAATTTCGTGGTCCGCTTGACCAATGAATATATTACAATTAATTGAGGTTTTTAGTTGAGATAAAAAAATCAATGGCACGAGCGGGATTCGAACCCACGATCTTCGGCTTGATACGCCGCNGTGGTAGAGCAGCGGCGTATCTAGCCAAAGATCGTGGGTTCGAATCCCACTTGTGCCATTGACTTTTTTATCTCACCTAAAAACCTTAATTAATTGTAGTATTTGTTAGCGTTATTACACTCTATCACACTAATTGAATGATGGTATGTAAATAGGAGTGAATGATCGTGAGGACGAATGGGCTTGGAACTGATTGCGTGGGGTGCTGAATTGACTTTACTGTTGACAGCATCCGTCTCAATGCTCAATCTCGGTGGCTGTACGGATCAGACCGGGGTCTGATCCCTGACTGCCATCAACCGAGGTGGGTAATTCTCGAGGTCTGCCGGTAATTTATTGTAATTGCCTGTGGACTACGAGAAGTGATAGGAACTCTATACATGTGCAGATTTTGGATTGTATAAATCTAAAATCCAAATAAATACTTACATTGTGAAACCAGTTGATTTTGTGCTGCCTTGGGTTCGCCCTGACGTTGCATTCGAAATAAACATCGTCTCCTTCTTTGATCTGGTGCGGCTTCAAAGACGTACCCAGCTGAAGTGAGACCAACGGTGCATCTGAAACAGGAAAAACATCTGAAAACCAAAATAACAACTGCAATAATTCGTTCAATACTATGGGCCCTGTTAGCATTTTATTTTATGAGATACTGTTTAATCGTTAAACTCGTTCGTTACTAATCTAATGTTACTAAAAATAACAATTTACTTTCTTTTTAATCCAAGCTATAACTCTATTCCCCCCATGCTTTGTAAACAAAGATGAAAATATTTACAAACCTAAGTATTTATATTCACAAAATTGGGAATATTGTTTAAGTGAAAAGAATTAACTAATAAACTATTAAAAATATTTCGGCAGTTCGACGACTGGGGGGGGTAGGACGATTAATGTATATCGAAAACAATAGAGGGCCTAGTTTGCCCCCTTGAGGAACTCCAATATTATAAATTGTGGGAACTGATCACACCAACATTATTATCCACTGTAGAGTATCTTCTCTTGAAATATGAGCCAAACCTCTAAACTACTTGACCTCTTACACCAACCACCAATTTACTGATAAACGTATTATGACAAACCCTGTAAAAAGTCCTAGTTAAACTGATGAATGTTCAAACAGCATAACACATTCATTATTCTTATTAACGAACTGTCGTAGTGCAAATAGTGTTGGTGTAAAGATAAGACCCCATCGCTCCATAAACTTCATCCCAGTTCCCTTCCTCTCCTAGTTTCCGATCATCCTGGTATTAGCTGTTTTGGTGTGTCAGACACGTTCGACATTTTGCCACCTTCAGTGTTTTGTTGGTTTTTAGTCAGGTCCGTTTTATATGTTCGTGAAAAGTGAAAAGGATCGTTGTTATCTTTGTCGGCGTCTTCGACGGACTAAGTCTTGGGGCTTTATTCGTTGTTTGTTCCGGTTGGTTATTATGATGGCCGGTACTTTTTATTGTTTTTTTTTAAAGATTTTTTATATTCAGTAGATGATGCGCGTGATTTGTGCACTTGTGTTTGATAAGTTTCTTCGTATTGGATGTGTCGTATTTGTATTTTTCTAGGTTTTCAATGCGTGATTGATATTTTTAAGGGTTTATGGGTAAAAAGTTTTAACGTTTAAGTAAAAATGGTTAATTTAAAAAAGTAGATTAATTTGAAATTGGCGTAAGTTTAAATGAATGAATGGCGCAAGTGTAAATAAATACATCAAAAAAGTTAAATTAAATTTAAAAAGGGTTAATGCGGCGGAAAAAAGCTATATATTGGAAAATTTTCATATTCATATATTTATTACATAATGAACTGTGAACAAAATGGGTTTGAATCTGTTAATATTGATAATTAATAAATAATTTATTTTTATTAGGTTTCGTGGTCCGCTTGGCAAAAACGAGGGAAAATTCAAAAGGTGGGGTTGAGATGGGGAGTTGATGTCTGAGTGGATCGAATTCACGAGAGCTTAAGTGGTAGAGCAGCGGTATATTTGGCCGAAGGTCGTAGGTTCGAATCCCGCTCGTGACATTGACTTTTTTATCTCAACCAAAACCTTAATTAAAGATTAATTAATTGAAATTAATAAATAAAGATTTTCATATAAAACAATTCTTCTAAAATTTTAAAACTCCGTTATTTGAACGTTCACGGTTTGAAGTTTGGTCGAGTTGTGAGGAAGCTTTTAAAATCCGTAATTTAACACCGGGACAACTGTAGTTGGCCAGTACTTTAGCGGTGTTCTGTTGAAAAATGTGATTTTTTAATTGGGAAAATACTACAGAGAAATCCATAATAAGTACTTTGTAAACTTGATTTTTCGGCAAATAACGTTTAAACTTGTTTTTTATTTTAAAGGAAAAGATCCTAGTTTCATTTTTTCGATGTTGATTCTGCTTATCTTTATTTCTTGCTTAGAAATGAACAATCGTTTCATATTTTCGTGTCGTTGGGACAGTAACTTTTTTCTGTTAATAATCGTATAAACATTTCAAAATCTCGACAATTGAATAAAAATGAGTTGTAACCACCCTTTATTAACTTGTAACAACCCTTGATTACCAATTGATCATAATCACAAACCCTCTTAGCGATGTAATAAAATAAAATAATAATATGTACTTTATGAAAAAGCGTACTTTATTTAAGAGGACTTCAACCAAGTGACTGATAGAAAGGGTAAAACGCTGACACTCATTTTGCGAGACCATTACCAAATTTACATTCCCGTTAAAATACCGATAAGTACAATTTATGGATACGGACCGGCTTGTGCTGATAAGTGCTTTCCATTTTCTCTGTTCAAGGATTTCACTAAAGGGGAAAAATACAATTATTTCATACGGGCTTTGATAATAAATACAATACATTCGAAGGTAAAATTAAAAGTCCCTGAGCTGCGATTCATTTTGCAGTTACACTCCAAAGGGAGTTTAAACCTTAAATTGTCGTTTACAGCATAAAAAACAGTATATTTAAATTAGCAACAAACTCAAAATATACTGAGAGGCAAAAAAGTGACCACCCTCGAATGTGCAGTAAATACCTGCAATCGTTACAATTTCTATTTTGTCGTTTACTGGATATTTTAAAAGACATATATAATATATAGCTAAATGAAAAAAAAATAAAATAACATAAATGAAAAATCAAACTGAGTAAAACAATTTTAACAAAAATGTTGCATGGAAACAATGAAGAAAATATTCATGCTTGCGTTCGACGTGGCATCGATTTAATGACGTTTTGAATGTAGTGCTGTGGTAATTTTCAAAATTATCTACCATATCTGGACGACTTTTTACCCTCATTGACAAGCCGTCCCAAGGTGTTCGATAGGGTTTCGGGACTACATGCTGGCTACTTCAAACATTAAATTGAAGCCCGTTCCAAGTAGTCACCAACGATCCTAGCTGTGGGGGCCTTGCATTATGCATAAAAATAAAACCGTCGACAATTTAGTGGCACAGAAGGAACAACTTCTTCAGATAACATTTTCAATTTATCGTGCAGGTGTTAGGGAACCCTCGAAGAAGATCAAGTTTGTGCGACCTTCCATAGAAATGTCCGGCCAAACCATTACACCACCGCCTCCATAGCTTCTCCGGGTTACGGATGGGTTAGGTTATGTAAAGGTTAGAATTAGGGTTAAGGCCGGATCTGGTTACATATCCGCGATACAATGTTGTTCCGTGATTCGGGGAAAATATGCGAGTGCTAAGGTTTTTATTCCATCGAAAATATGTGACGATGCGTCGTACAGCTTCTACTTTCTGATACAAAATTTTGCATTGACCGAACAAATAACATAAATGTTTTGTGATTGAAGAACAAATGAAAAGAAATGATTGACCGGAAGAAATGTTAACCTGAACAACTCCTTATCTGGTGAAGGCCCCAGAACGAGGACAACGATTTTCGCTGGGTCACTAACTGAGAATTTTTTTTTAAAGTTTTCTTTCTTCTATTGATAAAAAAATTGAAATAATTTTTAGTTGAACTGAACAAGCGGAAGTATTAAAGTGGGCGGCAACGTCTGGCGAATGGTGGTAAAGGCGGTAAACGAGGGAAACGGCTCTACTTCTATTAAATAATGCACTCCCTTTCTCCTCGATAGCCTCGTTCAGTGAATGAATTAGACTTTTGATGAAGTTGACAGTTGCGCTTAAAAAAGCATGACAAAAAAAAAATATATATATATATATATATATATCATTCCAAAACCACTAATATGGCACTAATTAATTTTTCACACACCATTTATGCCCATCCTTGGGATTCACCTCGTGATCACTAGCAATATACACTGATAGGCGAAAAATTCCACCCACTTGTAACTTGATTTGTATATATTTTTACATATTAAAAAAGTTTCAGGTTTCTTAACGTTCAATATTGAGTTTTTGTTTAAAAAAGTAAAAAAAAGTAAACTACTAAGGAAAATGCCAATTAAAAAAAAAAGATAGAAAAAAATTGTTTTAATTAGATTTTTAATTAACTTTCAATATCGCGTATTTCCTCCTCTTGCCTTAATTTTATCTCGAAGTCGCCTCGGCGTACTTTCTACGAGTCTGGAAATGTCTCTTTGCTGGAGCCCATTCTTCACGAACAGTTCGAGATCGTGTAGTGTATCAGGAAGTGATGGACGTGATGTTATTCGTCTTTTGAGGTTATCCCATAAATGTTCGATGGGGTTCAAGTCTGGAGAACGGGCTGGCCAGGCTAAGACCCTGATGTTATCCTGTTGAAGGTTCGTAGTATGCGAGCGACATGTGGACGGGCATTATCGTGCATTAGAATAGGATTGTCCCTGATTTCATGGAGGATAGGCAACGCATGATGTTCCAAAATTTCGTCCACATAGCGAGTGGCCGTCAAAGTCCCTCCATGAACGACAACCAACTCTGTGCAACTCTCCATTGAAATTCCCGCCCACAACCATCACTGTGCTACGTTGAAAAAAGTTGGCTCTGGGAAAAATTACAGGCTTCGTACATTTCGCTTTCTCCACACTCTTTCACGCCCATCTGGAGATCGTACTGTAAATTTACATTTATATGTAAAAAGTACAGCAGACCAATCGTCCAAAGACCAATGGCTGTATTCTCGAGCAAATGGAACCGTGCAACTCTGTTCTGGTAAATTCTGGTCCTCTTAAGGGGCGAAAAGCCATCAGTCCGTACTGATTTAATCTTCTTCGAGCAGTGCGTTCAAACATTTGGACGCCTCAAATTTCTTGGAGCTGATGAATCGCATGAACAACAGTAAGGTCCCGGTTTCGCAAAATTCTCAAAGTCCAAAAACGGCCATCCTGTGGTTCTGTTACCCTAGGGCGTCCAGAACCGGGCCTTCTATGGTAGGACCCAGATTCTCGAAATCGTCTAACGGCGTCTCGCATTGTTTCGTAGGGAACTCCGATGGCAATAGCCAAACCTGCAGCATTAGCTAAACCTGATGGAACGTCCATCATCAATAAGTGCCACACCACGCGCAACATCCTCAGCCCTAAGTGGCATTTTTAAGTTTAAAAATTTAAATTAAGAAAATTGATTTAATCTTCTTAGAG